AACAAGACCAAATTAAACATTATAAATAAATCAGTATGGCAGGAATGAATAAACATCCCTCTACAACATTGGATATAAATGGTCCCAACTCTCCAATTAAAAGTCATAAGTTGGCAGAAAGGATTAAAAAACAAGACCCAACTATATGTTGTTTTTGAGAGACTCTTACAGGAGAATGTATTCACTGGCTGAGAATAAAAAGATGGAAATCAAAGACTCAGGCCCCAATAAAATAGTATTGTATGATTTCAACACACTTTTCTCATCAATAGATAGATCATCAAAACACAAACTCAGTAAAGATTCTTCAGATCCAAAAAAATATTATATATCAAATGGACTTAATGAATACATATAAAATATTTTATTCAACATTTGAGGAATTCACTGTCTTATGGAAACGTATATAAATTAGACCATATTTTAGGCTGCACAGCAACTCTTAGCAAACAGAATGATCAAAATAGAATGAAATTAGAAATAAACACATGTGTGTATACACACACAATCTACAGAAACCACATAAATACATAGAAATTGAACAACACACTTCTGAATAATGAAAAGTTTACAGAAGAAATAAGAGGAGAAATTTAAAAATTCATAGAATCCAACAAGAATAGTGATACAATATACCAGAACCTCCAAGAGGAGGTTGGCTTTAAGAAGAAAGTGTACAATTCTGAGACCCTGCAGAAGAAAATCAGAAAGATACAAATAAGCCAAGTAATGATGATTCTATAGGCCATTGAGAACCAATTTCAAAACAATTAAAAGGAAGGAAATAATTAAGATCAAAACTAAAATCAAGGAAATAGACAATTAAAAAATACAAAGCATCAATGAGTGAAGGAGTTGGTATTTAAAAATTTTTTAAATATTGATAAACATTTAACCAAACCAACTAAAAGAAAATGAGAGAAGACCCAAATTAATAAAATTAGAGGTGAAAAAGGAGAAATTACCAAAGATGTCATAGAAATTCAGAGGATCATTAGGGACTATTTTAAAAACTTATTCTCTGCTAAATTTGAAAACCTAGAAGAAATCAATACAGTTTTAGATGCATAAGACCTGTCAAAATTCAAGATAATAAAGAAAAACTAACAATCCAAAATGTAGCAATGAGATAGAAACAGTAATTAAAAAGACTTTCCACAAAGAAACACCTAGAACCAGAATTCTCAGCTGAATTCTACCAGAACTTTAGAGTAGAACTAATTTAACGCATCTCAAATTATTCCATGAAATAGAAAAGGATGTGACAATATCAAAAGTACTCCACAAAGTCAGTATCACCCTTCTATCAAAATCAAATAAGGACCCATTGAGGAAAGAAAACCACAGACCAAAAATTCTAATGAATGTAGATGCAAAAATTCTTAACAAAATATTAGGGAATCATGTTCAATGATATGTTAAGAAAACTTGTACATCATGACCAAGTTTATTTTATCCCAGAGTTTTAAAGAATGGTTTAACATGCACAAATCAATATAAATAGAATTAGGAACAAAATTACAGTTATCTCAATAGTTGCAGAGAAAATCTTCAAAGATTTTTCAGCACCCATTCATGATGAAAATGCTTAAAGAAAACTAGGAATAGAAGAAATTTACCTCAACATCACAAAGACTACATGCAACAAAACCAAAGCCATCATCATATTGAATGGGGAAAATCTGAAAGCATTTCCTTTAAAGTCCAGAACAAAACAAGATTGCCCATGCTCACCACTCCTATTCAAACAGTAGTAGAAATTCTATCCAGAAAATTTAAGCCAGAGAAGGAAACAAAAGGATAAAAACGGGAAAGTTAGGGGTCAACTAGTCACTATTTGCAGATCATATGATTCTATACTTAGAAGATCTACAAAGGTCCACCAGAAGAGTGCTAGAACTATTAAATTCAGCAAAGTAGCAGGTTACAAAATCAATATATAAAAATCAATAACTTCATTATACACCAATAATGAATCTGCTGAGGAAAAAAAAATCTGGAAAATAAACACATTCACAATAGCCTGAATCAAAAATAACTAGGAACAAATCTAATCAAGGAGATGAAAAACTTCTGCAATTAAAATTAGAACTTCAAAGAATGAAATTGGATAGGACATAAGAAGATGGAAAGATGCCATATTCAGAATATTGGATAGTCAGAATATTGCTAAAATGGCTATACTACAAAAAGCCACATGCAGATTCAATGCAATCCCCATCAAAGTACCAATGACATCCTTCACAGAACTAGAAAAATCTGTCCTAAAATAGCCAAAACCATTATAAACCAGAAAAGCAATGCTGAAGGAACATCAAAATGCGTGACTTCAAATTATACTACCAAGTTATAGTAACAAAAATTGTATAGTACTGGCATTTACACACACACACACACACACACACACACACACACCAATGGTACAGAGTAGAAGATATAAAGACAAACACAGTTACAATAATCTGATCCTCAACAAAGGCATAAAAAATGTCCATTGGAGAAAAGTTAGAATTTTTAATAAATGGTGTTAGGAAAACAAGTTATTCATATGTAGAAGAATGAGACAAGGTGCTTATATCTTACCCCACATAAAAATCAACTCAAAATGGATCAAAATTCTAGGAATTAGACCAGAAGCCATGCAACTTCTAGAAGAAAACATAGGATCAACATTCTGTCATATAGACACAGGCAACTACTTCATTAATAGGACACCTAAAGCTCAAGAAACAATACCAAGAATTAATAAATGAAATGCAATCAAATTAAAAACTTCTTCACAGCATAGGAAACAATTAAGAATGTGAAGAGAGAATCTAAAAAGATACTAAACAGATGTTTCTCAAAAGAATAAATACAAATGGTCAACAAATAAATGAAAAAATGTTCAACAATTATGTTAGCAATTAACAAAATGAAAATAAAAACTACATATTTCATCTCACTACAGTTAGAATGGCAGCCATCAAGAAAACAAGCAATAATAAATTCTGGAGAATATATGGGGAGAAAAGGAACACTTTTATACTACTGGTGGGATTCAAGTTAGTACAATGAGTATGAAAATCAGTAAGAAATTCCCTAAAGACTAGGAATGGAACCATCATATGGCCCAGTTATACCCCTGCTCAGTATTTATACTAATCAGTCACAATACTACAGTGAAATATTCATACCCATGTTTATAGCAGCATTATTTATTATAGCCATACTGAGGAACCAGGCTAGGTGTTCATCAATGGATGTATGGAGAAATAAAATATGGTACATATGCACAATGGAGTTTTATTTAGCCATAAAGAAGAATGAAATTATGTCATTTGCAGGAAAATGGATGAAACTTGAGAACATTATGTTAAGCAAGGTAAGCCAAACTCAGAAGGTCAAGGGTCATATGTTTTCTCTCATACGTGGAGGTTGGAAAAAATGAAAAGAAGGGGAGGGCAGAGCTCATGAAAATCAAAGGGATATCAGTACAGTAGAGGAAAAGGACCAAGGGATACATGTGGATAAAGAAATACTGGAGAATGACATGGGTCTCATTGTATTGTTATATTGTGTGAATGTACGAATATATAATAATGAATCCCACAATCATGTGCAATTTTAATGCACCCAATAAAACATGGGTAAAAAAACTCCTAATAGAAGGGAGGAGTAAATTTTTTTTAAAAAAAAACAAGCAATTTTATACAAAGTCTAGATTTGAGCAAGATATTTCTTATGATACATAGTAAGTTTTAACAGATATTCTTTTTCCTCTGATGCTCAGAGGAAGATTCATCAATTTGCTCTATCATTATGATTTTAAATGAAGTTTACTAAATGAGTTGATGATATTTTCAGAAATCAATGAGCATTTCATGATGTAGTCTTCAAATAGCATCTTCTTTGCAAAGGCTTCATGAACTCTCATAATTATTTACAGAGCATTTTTGTTAAATGTAAATAAATTATGAAAGAGAAAAATAAAATGATCTTAAAGCAAATATTCACAAATGGATGATTATTTTTTATAAATGGTAATTTCCTTGTAAGACTAGTAGAAATTCACTTACAATTATAAAGAAATGTGCTACCAATAAAAATGAATACATGAGCACTGTCTTTATTATCTAGCAAACACTGGCTTGATGTAGGTAACAGGAGGTTTAAATGAGAGAAGTCAGAAGTTCAGAAATATAGAAAATAATTTATTTTAGGTGATTTCTACTGTCAAATTCTCTGAGAAGAGATCAAGCAGTTGTAAGCAATGTTACATAAAGAAACAAATCTTTTAGACCTATAAACTCTATTATAACCAATCTGAAGATATAAGCATATAAAAATGAATATGTCAATCAAAATAGAGTTGGTAGTAGCACAGAAAGAGAATTATGAAAGAAAATATCCAAAGCAAACATTAAGACAACTGCCTTTGCATATGCAAGGATAATTGGCATTCCTAGAATTGTGTAAATAAATGAATTGAGATTAGCTTTAAACCATTGTACATTTAAATCTTATGGCTAATTATCCCTATTCTATGTTTGATGAAATGCACTTTACATTTTGTTTTCCCAGAATGGGCTGGTTCTGTCATCATCAATAGTGTGGTCCATGGAACAATTAATTTGCCTGTTACAAACAAATCACTTGGCTTTCAGGGTTTAAGTACTAGTTTCAAAGACTCTGATGAATTCATCAATATTAAATCTGCTCCATGTGAAGTTTGGTGAAAGCCAGGCAGCAGCCTTCTCCCTGATTAGCAAATTTTCCCAGTGTGTTATGATAAAAACCAAGCCTTTTAGATATTTAAATTACTTCATCTACAGTTTAATCTATCAAATCCTACAATAAGCTGTCTAAAATGAGAATAATTATAATCAATTAATCATTCTACTCTAAATTTAATGTATTACTTTACCACTCCTCTGAGAAACTATCAGACATCATTTTTAGAATTATAAAATAGACTTTATAAGAAAACATTTGTGAATTTTAAAATGTAATGGGTGACTTGTGAACATGTTTTCCATGCAGGAGGGGATGGGAATGCTAAAATCAATTCACATTCAGGTGCCTTACACACGCATGATCAAGCAGAAAATGTTTGCAGCCTATGTGCACATTGTCAACAAAATATGTTGACCCTTTGAGTGTCATTAGAAGACTACTAAAATCATGAAATGATTTTGGCAAGCTAGAAGGCTACTTAAAATTGCTCTGTCCGTGTGTAAGTCAGGATATGCAGGGTTATGCTACAACAACAAACAATCCTGAAAATCTCAGCACAGGCATGTTTCTTATGTTATTTTTCCATAAGTTGGCTGGGTTTCTGGTCTTCAGACTCCTCTTTCTTACTCCATGGCCCAGGCTGATGAAGCAGCTATTCCCAGTTTACCTGACAGAACAAAAGGCACATAAAAAAATATCCACCAGGGAGAAGTGAAATCCTACCAGGTATCCTGAAGGAGAAGAAAACAAAATGTTAACAGTATATAATAAAATGAAAGGCAATAATAATATCCGCAATCATATATAATAATTTCAAAAAGTCTATCAAATAGAATAGAAAAAGCTCTAGAAAAGCAGAAAGACGGTTGTTGTTTAAATAGAAGCAAAATAAACAGTGTCTTTCTTTTTTTAATTAATCAATTTATTTATTTTACAGTAGAATGCAATTTGAAGTATTGTATACAAATGGAACACAACTTCTCATTCCTCTGGCTGTATATGTTGCAGAGTCACTCTAGTAGTGTAATCCTACATGTTTATAGGGTAATAATGTCTGTCTCATTCTACCATCCTTCCCATCCCCACAATCCCATCCCTCCTCTCACTCCCCTCTACACAAACCAAAGTTCCTATGTTCTTCCCTATCTCCCCAACCAACTATGCATCAGCATCTGCTTTTCAGAGAAAACATTCAGCTTTTGGTTTGGGGGGATTGGCTTATTTCAATTAGCATAATATTCTCCAGTTCCATCCATTTATCTGCAAATGCCATAATTTAATTCTTCTTTTTTTAAGTCTTTTTTTGCAATTAATTTTTCTAATATATTCATTTTAATATAACACATCTAAAATATCACCTCAATATATAATAAATACATTATTATTAATTATGAATTCTGCAATCTGTATTTGGGGTAAAAATGGGAGTTCATAACCCACTTGAATCTAATGTATGAAATATGATATGTCAAGAGTTTTGTAATGTTTTGAAAAACCAATAAAAAAAAAGGACTTGGAAAAAAAAAGAGTTTATAGCCAATTCTTGGCCAGCCATGTGTGGCAACTGAGTACCTGAAATGTGTGAATAGGCATGTGCTGTAAATGTAAAATACACACTGGACACCAAAGAATAATCTGAAAATAATTTTAATGATTCATAACAGTGTCTTTCTTGATGTAAAACAATGTACCGGGTTAACATTTTATACTAGGTAAATGTAGCACAGGGAAGAGAACAGGCTTCATATGTATCCCAAGCCCTGTCAGAGTTAAGGCTATTTATATTCCATCCTTAGGATTACCCTTGATTCTTTTAATCTCAGTAAGGTAGACTTCCTAAGAAATTTAGAGACAGCTATATGGTTTCCCTCTCCTTTTATTCCCTGACACATCAAATGCCAACTCACTGTCCTCTCTGCTGTAGGTGCTCACCTGGAGTGGTATTCACTGATCTTCACAACTTCCCTGGGCCCCGTGCATGTCTTTTCTCTGGGCTTGGATCACAGGGGACATTGTCTAAGCTCCTGAGATGAGACACAGCCACCCCGACTTTCCAGTGATGGAAGACAGCAGGTGTTCATTCCCTTATTCTTATTTCTGCCAGAACAGAAATTATAAATGGATTGTAAGCAGCATCTAGTCAATTTTATTTTTGCCTCTATTTGAGATATCGAGGAACATGTGCCTTACCAATTTTCTATAGGGAAACAAGCAAACAATCAAGAGTCATTTCTACACAAAGAGATTCTCAGTGAAGAACTTGTAGGTATTGTATATTTTCTTTCATTCAAACATGTAGCTAATCTTTGGGAAGGTGCACACAAATCTGGACATACCTATCTAGGAAATAGATAATACTTGGAATCTGTATGTTACAACTACTGCCTTCTCACCATCCCCCCCCCACACACGCCAAACAAGCAACCCAGAAGAAAGAAAAAAAAAATGAACACTGTTATATAACATTGTGTTATGTGTCAATTACCACTCATAGAATTGTTCCAACACTCACTCTTAAGGTAGCTCAGGCAAATTTGATCAGTTGTAAAGAAAAGATCTCAGAGTCAGGCATGATGGTGCACTCCTGTAATCCCAGCAATTCAGGAGCCTGAAAGCCAGCCTCAGCAACTGAGCAAGACCCTGTATCAAAATAAAAATATGAAAAGGGCTGATGATGTAGCTCAGTGGTTAAGAGCCTCTGGGTTCAATGTCGAGTACCAAAAAAGATCTCAGAAATATTCAAAGAAAGGATGAAGTGGTCAACAATGATACTGTCTGTACATAAAGTTCAAGGTTCAGAAAATGAGATTTATCCCTGAAAATTCCATAAGGGACACTATAAAGCATAAAACACTCTCCCTGAGTACTAATCCGTGTGTGTGTGTGTGTGTGTGTGTGTGGACATTGCTCTTGAGTATTTACTAGGAGTGACTGCAGTTTTACATAGTGTACATGAACACTGTTCTATTCTATAGTATTTCAGCACACCAGTACCAGCTACCTCCTTCCATTAATGTAACAGTTTCCATGGCTTTTACATCCCCTTGCACACTTGGTATTTTTGGAGTTACAACAATCAAGAAGAGCATGCTGTCTACAGAAAGCAGAAATCTAAAACAGCCCCATAATCTCAGGCATGGCAAAACCCCTAGGATAGTGTTACATTACATGTTCAAAAGCATTTGGCAGACGTGATGAAGACAATCAGTTGACCTCAAAATAAGATTAGCCTGGTGGTCCCAAACCAGTCACATCAGCTCTGCAAGGAGACTTTAGAGAGATTGAAAGCATGATAAGGATTTACCATGACAGTAATGTACCATTATGGTCTTGGAAGATGGGGAGACATAGAGAAAGGAGCTGAGTAGCCTCTAATTGCTGAGATTCACCCCTGACAGGTAGCCAGCAAGGAAACAGCAGTGCTAGCCCTACAACTGAATTTTGCCACCAATCTGAGTGAACGTGGAGGCAGATTCTTTCCCAGAGCCTTCAGATAAGAGCTCTTCCTGGCTGATATTTTGACTGTGGTGCTGAGAGTCCCTTAGTAAGAGACTCCATCCATGCTGGTGAAATATTGACCTCTGGAACTGTGAGCAAATACATGGGTGCCGGCTTAACTTGCAATCTATGACAATTAATCTATAGCAATAGCAAACTGCCCTTGACTAACCAGGTCACATGAGACCCATCAGCAGTAACCAGCCTCTCCTCAGCTCCAGCTGATGGCATAGGCCTAATGCTGCCTTTGGTAAGGTGCTGGAAATAGCTACTTTTAGTTTGGGATTTTCTAATTTATAATCAGTTGGCAACAGATTCAATCAAAACAGAGAAGAAATTGCTGTGCATATCAAATGAATCTCATCTGCTTAAAACATGGCCTCAGTAATAGTTATGGTTCTTTTCAATTCCAGGGTTCCACGGGTCTACTAAATGAGTGTTATAAAGTCCTTTCATTTTGTTTTAAATAATAAATATTAGGAACATGGTAACACTCTAAGTGGCCTCTAAATTTCCTTCCAGATGAAAGATTTATGATTATTAATGCACTAGTTTTTACTGTTCTACATGATATCTTCCTGTGCAGAAGACTATGGGAATTGAAGGTTACACTGAAAATTTGCTACAGTAAATCATCAGACAAATAGTTTAAAAATAAAGAGTAAGGGTTGGGGCTGTAGTTCAGTGGTAGAGAACTTGCCCCTGCCCCATGTGCAAGACCCTGAATTCAAATCTTGGCACCACAAAAGTTAGTTAATTAATTAATTAATTAGAAATAAAAATTTTGCTTTGATGTATACCCTTTTCTTCTAATTAAAATATGAAAATGCTGTATATTAAGAAGGGAAACTATGTGTTTTTATTCCCATCCACACAGGTCTGTCCTTGGGCAAGTTGTGTGACCTTGGGCAAGTTCCCCAACTTCTTGGTGTCTAAATTCATTTTTAAGGGAAGCTGATAGTAATAAGCAACCAATAGGGTTTGGATATATCTGCAGCATTTAGAATGTTGACTAGACCATGGAGCTCAACAAATGTTAGTAATTTGCAGACAGAAGCATGGGAGTTCTAAAGCAGAGGAAAGATTATACATGTTGATTATACATGTTGTCCAGGAATGTCCAATAGCCAGTGTTACTTGCATGTTACTTTCTGTTTACAGTTTAGTCCAAGTCTACCTTCACGGTCCCTTGCCTGCTTTAGTCCAACTTAACTTCATAGGCCAATTATCTGACTGCTCAACATTTTCTAAACTTCCAATGCAAGTTCCTTATTTAAATCTTACCTATTTCCCTTTGTTTGTCCACCTTAAAAGGCAAATGTGTAGGGAGTTTCTCCACAGAAACTCCCCAGATTCTGCCAGAGAAACTTAGCTGCTTATTTCCATAGTCAGTGTTTAAATCTCAGGATAAATAATGTGACTGATATATTGAATTATACTTATTTACTTATCCATCTGCATTATTTGTAGATAAAATTCTTACAAATGTGAAATTCATTTCAGTTGTGCCCCCACAGAACTTAGTATGATGGCTTGTATGAGTTAAAAACTTAATAAACACTAATTGACTTTGAAATATGCAAAAATAATGCTTCAACAATTGTCAGTTCTGAATAAAAATAAAGAGAGAAACTATTTAACCGTTAAACGTTACAAATTTAAATAGGCTTTAGACTGCCTTTCTTTAGAATTTTGTTTTTGTTTTATTGTGTGTCCATGTGTGAATATTACCTTTTCAGGCTTATAAACAAAACAACTACTGGGATAAGAAGCCTGTCAGGTACCATGCCAGATAACATAATCATGCTTATATTTTCTCAAAATTAGGAAAGTTTCCTATTCATATGTAAGGCAGATTTCCATTGCAACACAATAACTTAGAGATCCATTTATAAAACACACATAGACTTTTGGCAACAGGAGGATACAAAAAAAAAACTAAAACAATAAATAAAAAGGAAGCTTGACAATTTATTTAAGAGTATAATACTTATTATAATATAAAATGCTGCATTTATTTACAAAAGAACAAGCTCGAAGTTTTCTTTAGCATATAGACCTGCTGTATAAATAGAATCTCAAATTCTACAAAAACCCTTAAAACAAATGGGCCAAAGACCTGAACAGACACTTCTCAGAGGAGGACATACAATCAATCAACAAGTACATGAAAAAATGCTCACCATCTCTAGCAGTCAGAGAAATGCAAATCAAAACCACCCTAAGATACCATCTCACTCCAGTAAGATTGGCAGCCATTATGAAGACAAACAACAACAAGTGCTGGAGAGGATGTGGGGAAAAGGGTACTCTTGTACATTGCTGGTGGGACTGCAAACTGGTGCGGCCAATCTGGAAAACAGTATGGAGACTCCTGGGAAAGCTGGGAATGGAACCACCATTTGACCCAGCTATTGCCCTTCTTGGACTTTTCCCTGAAGACCTTAAAAGAGCATACTACAGGGATACTGCTACATCGATGTTCATAGCAGCACAATTCACAATTGCTAGACTGTGGAACCAACCCAGATGCCCTTCAATAGATGAATGGATAAAAAAAATGTGGCATTTATACACCATGGAGTATTACGCCGCACTAAAAAATGACAAAATCATAGAATTTGCAGGGAAATGGATGGCACTAGAGCAGATTATGCTTAGTGAAGCTAGCCAATCCCTAAAAAACAAATACCAAATGTCTTCTTTGATATAATGAGAGCAACTAAGAACAGAGCAGGGAGGAAGAGCAGGAAGAAAAGATTAACATTAAACAGATACATGAGGTGGGATGGAAAGGGAGAGAAAAGGGAAATTGCATGGTAATGGAGGGAGACCCTCATTGTTATACAAAATTACATATAAGAGGTTGTGAGGGGAATGGGAAAATAAACAAGGAGAGATATGAATTACAGTGGATGGGGCAGAGAGAGAAGATGGGAGGGGAGGGAGGGGGGATGGTAGAGGATAGGAAAGGTAGCAGAATACAACAGTTACTAATAGGGCATTATGTAAAAATGTGGATGTGTAACCGATGTGATTCTGCAATCTGTATTTGGGGTAAAATTGGGAGTTCATAACCAACTTGAATCTAATGTATGAAATATGATATGTGAAGAGCTTTATAATGTTTTGAACAACCAATAAAAAAAAAATTAAAAAAAAAAAAAAAAAAACTAAAGGATTAAAGTGAACAGTTTCTTTTCACCATACCCAAAGACGAATTCATCAATCTTCATTTAACTTAGAATGCTAATACACCGATTTAGCAAATAGCTGTTGCTTCTAAATTTCTACTTCTACAAAGCAGTCATGTAGCAGAATTGTCTGACAGTTGAGGCATGAGTGGTTAGTTCTTCACTGATTGTCTTTGCTGCCTACCCACCACAGGCATGAGAAATACTTGATTTTCACTTGTCAAGGATTTCTAGTGAGGACTCAGACACAGACTCACCATTCAGTGCTGCTCAAGGGAACTAGACATGAGTTTGCAGAGGATTTCTAGGAAAGTTTTTCATCCCTGGCAAGATCTACTTCTGCTTCTGGATGTCTGGCATGAGGATATACCTGTGACCAGCAGTTATTTTGTAGCTACTTGAAGACTAAAGACAACTTACTAAAACTGGAAGATGAAAGAACAGGGAGATAACCCAGTGATAACATTGATTTGATAGAAGTTAAAGTCAAGGCCATTCAACTCTGGATTTCTTTTCATGTCAGAAAATGAACCCATAGAGTTTAAGTCATTTTAAGTTGGTTATTCTTTGTTGGCAGCTACAAACATTTCTGAAATATATCCATATTTACTTTCTCTACATAGGATAAGTCTCAATCAATTTGTTCTGCTAAAACACTCTATTGTAGACTGGATGGCTTCAACAACAAACATGGTTTTCTCATACTTCTGAAGGCTGAAAATCTGAGACCAGGGTGCCTTCATGATGAAGGCTTTCTTCCTGTTCACTGATGATCATTTCTTGCTTTATTCTCTCATGATGGAGAGAGATGAATCTTGCGTCTCCTCCTCTGTAATAAGGGAAATTAATGTCTTCATGAGTTCTCAAGACCTCGTCTAGCCCTATTACCCTCTGAAGTCCCCACTTCCAAATATCATCACATTGAGGATTCGGTTTCGAACTACTTTGGGAAAACATAAACATCCTGTTTACAGTATTGCTAATTTTGCAACAAGAAGATCATGTCTAAAGTATTTCCTGAATAGAACAATTATAAATAGAGGGCTCAGTCCTGTATTTGTCAATTGGCATTATTTTCTATGAAGTCTCAGTTAAGAGCAAGATTAAGTTATAATAAAATGATGACTTCAGGGACATTCCAATTGAAATTATGTGATCATTTTCATAAACTAAAATGCTTGAGAGACAAAGCTAATGCTAATCTTGTACAGTTCAAGATTCATATCATGTGAATTCTGGATCCCTCATGATTTACTGCTAATAAATATTCCAGTGTACTGCATGTTGATAGTATGGACTGTGTGAGAGGAACTGTATTAGCTTACCCCAAATCAAATAGCCAGAAATCTTTCAATTATTCTATGACAAAGAAATAAAAGAGTCCATTTCAAAAACTTACCTGATGTGATACCCAGTTTGGGATTATCTTCCCTGAGGATTTACCAAGTCAGACTAAAAAAAAATGAAGACCACTTCTTAAGTATAGAGTAAGGCCTGTGCGCTCTGTGCCACTCTAGGTGACATAGTAAGCCTTCTTAGAGTCAAGGACACATACCACTGGCCTGTACCAAAGTACACAGTGTGGATATAAGATTCAAGAGTGCTCAGTATATATCTGTCTTAAATAAAAAACAACAGATGTGTAATTAGCACTATCAGGGTTTTATGTTTGTGTATTTTGCCTATTAACACACCTCACTTCACCCTTTTTATAAGGAATGTAATGATATAGTTGATCCTGGTGGAATGTGAGAACAGTGGCTAATTAGATATATACAGTGAGTGGAATACATGGAGTTTGTGTTTGGGAAGGGATGGGTAATGAAGAATTTAATCTCTCCCTGAAAACAAATGCAATTCTGATGCACTAGGAGCCGGAATAGATGGTTTCTGCACTCAAGTGTATGAACTGAGAATAAAAGACTTTTCCCCTAAAATAAAATTGTGGATTTATTACTAGAAGGAGAGAGAGAATAGATGCTGGGCACCAAAACCAAAAATGTTCATTATTATCTTTTTTTTCCATTATCATTGAAATAAAACTAAACTGACATACATTCTTTGAATACACAAAGAAATAGTCATTAAGTTGTCATGTGACTAAAATTACTTTGTTAAATGCTGATTAAAATCACTCTTTATTCACCAAAATCTTAAGGTAAAACTAAGTATGTATTTTGCACCTGTGATTTAATAGTTTTACTCATTTTCAAATAACAAGTTATGTTTTTAATATGAGAGAGTCTATCATGACCCCACTTGGAAAGGCATTTTCATAGACGTATGGAATAAAGGGTTCTCGATTTCAACCTAAGGGAGAAAAAAATTATAAACTGGTGTTTATCAGTGGAAAGGTAGATAAAAAACTAAAATTGTATTCTTGCTATGGAATAAGAGAATTGAGAATGGAGCTGGGTCTTCAAGAAATATTAGGATATAAGTAGATGAGGTTGGAAGGTATTCCAAAGGAAGGAACAGAAGCCTCTTCAAACAAAAGAGTGACTAAAACTGATTTTTTAGTAAAACAACAAGTACACTCATTTTGTAAGAGCAGAAGAACACGTGAGACACAAGGTTCTATGTCAGAACACTGTACGGTCCTGCAAACCAAGTGAAGGTTTGCAGATAATCATACAGACGTGGGTTCTGGAATCACACAGAAACTTAAACCCAGATTCTGCTGTATGCTAGGTATGTCACCTTGAGCCAACAACTGCATCTCTCTGTGCCTCAGTTGCTTTATCTATTAAGAAAAGTTATTAAAACCTACTTGAAAAGATGATAAGAATGAAATGTCACAATATATTTAAACTTAGCATGGTCTCTGGGACTTGGAGTATATATGATCATTCACATTGAAGCATAAATTAATAAAATGAAAAGCAAAACCCTCAAGTTGTGGTCTTCTAGGAAAAAAAATATATATATGTATATACACACACACACACATATATATCCTCCTCATTTCCTTCAAGTAGAATGGAATTGCATTTGTTTTCCATTGTTGTTTATTTGTTTTTTAAGATTAACTTTAGAAATGAAGATATAGTACAGCAAGAACTGAGGGACCATCCCAGATGATAGAAACAAGTCAACCTGGCTTCATAGTGACCAGATCCTAGTACCCAGATGTAGTACAGATTTCAGGGCTCTGGGGAGACAAGGCTACTGTGTCCTCGGCTCAGTCACAAGAGTTAATGTGCTTCCTTCTCATAACTCAAACTAATCCTATTCTCTGACTAACATTTTTATGAACTTCTCCACTCTGTTCCTACCTTCCCGGAGCTGATGAGTACATTCCTGAGAGAGAAGCTTGTTTTGGAAAAGCATTCTTTGGGTGGCAGTTTCACCCCATCACCCCTCCAGTTGCTAACCTCCTGTGTATTGCCCATCCTTGGATCAGACGCCCATCCAGTCAGCACCTGCCAGTTAGATTGGAATTTCAGGATCATGCAGTCATAGCCTGGAATAATTTTCAGAAAGAATCCTGTAGATGGAGACTGTGCATAGAAATCAGGCCCAAATATTTGAGGTTTAGCCTATATAGGACACAATAATTAAAAATAATAGTTAAGAAACTGATAATAAAAATTACAAATTAAAACAATTATTCAGGTATCAATATGCTGAATGCATCAAAGAGATGAATGCGTGGGTAAGGCAAGTCAGCAAAGAAATTGTTATATTTTTTTTGCCCTTATGAAGTTCAAAGGCCTGATTAGGATTAAGAGAATAGAAATAGAGACACTCAGACCTGCAATGTATAAACCACTTTAATAGAATTTGATAACCAACCAGGAAAATGGAAAAGAAATATTAATAGCAGAGTAGTGAAGAGCATATACTTAGGTGTTTTGGAGATCTGAAAACCTAACTGTGAGTTGATATTTTGTCACGTATTAACTGTGTGACCATAATGTTAGGTATCCAATCTATCACCTGTAAAACAGGGTTATTTATAGCATCTGCCACAAGTGTTTGTACAAGAAGTGTATGAGATAGAGTGCAGCATGTAGGTGAGGTTCCCTGCTTTCATTAACTCTACAAAAATGGGCCTGAGATCTCTAAGAAGTATAAATTGAATCTATGAAAAAGGCAGAGACCTCAGGGGGAAATTGATCTGAATGCGCCAGAGATTGGGTTCTGCTTTAGATGTGTCGGGCAGATTGTGGTACAAAAGGGTATCCAGCTACAGAGAGAGATGATATAGCCAAGAAGAGAATAGAGGAGATTTCGTGAGACATGTTTTGTGATTCATTTATAGGAACACAAAACCTAACATAATTTAAATCATGTTTAATACTGTTTGTCAGTAGCATTTTACTGAATATAATACTCTGAAATTAACTGGAAAGTTCAACAGAAATGATTTTGATTATATAAAAATAAATCCTGCATAATTAATTTTCCTGAAGGGTTGCTTTGTACATAGGACTATTTAGGGGACTCCAATATGATAATACATCTTTTGAATGTACTTACTTTCATATGTTATGTCATATACTACTATACCAGAAAACAGAATTCATTCTATTTTGGAATTTATCTAAAATTTTATAATACTTGATAAGGCTCTTGCTTTCCACCTAATTCCTCAAACTACAAATCTAATCTTTCTTTTTTCTCAATAACTTCACCCAATACACACACACACACACACACACACACACATGCAGTCTTAATCCTTAAGACTCACTGTTTCTGTAGCTTAATTATTGCTCAGAGTTTCTCACATATCTCTATTTCCATTACCATTTCCCTAATCCAAGTGAAACCACCATCTTCCCTTGTGGGGACCCCTGTGTGGCCTGTCAATCATTTCCATACTTGTTGCCCAATTTTTCTCCATGCTGTTATCCAGAGACAGCTCATAAGGCACAGATATGATCACAAATGTTCACTAATTAAAAGTAACAATTACTTTCCACAGTCTTCAGTGAAGTTGGATCCCTTTGAGGCAGCTGATGTGGCCTCCATGTCCGTCCCCCATCTATATCGCCTTCCACTGCTCTCAGAATGTCCCAGCCATACTGGATTCTTTTGGGTTTGTGACTCATCCCCAATGACCTTTCTCACCTCTTCACCTTAAACACACTAAAACAAACTGTTCTATTTAGGCATTATTTGAGTAAAATCTCTTCAATTTCACCTTTCCTCCAAGAAACTCAGACCCTAAAATAGGTCTGTAGTGCTATATATTCTATTTTTGCTTCTTATGACACCCAACAAGTGCATTATTACCTACAATTGTTTTTTTTTTCCATTAAGCTGCAAATTCATGGAAGCCTGGGACCATGTCAGTTTTATTTGCTGCCAAAGCTGCAATAGTGAAGAGTTAAATTTACTGTGTAGAAGGAACACCATAAATATTTACTGAATAAATTGAATTGGAAGAACTCTATCAAACCAAGTAGTAATTATTTGTATTATTGCCAACTAAGTCTATCAATTATTTCAATTATTTGTCCATAGAGTTCATTTGCATTATGCAATATGACAAATACTGCAAATTGTAAATTCAAGAGCTCTTATAATATGTGCACTTCCAATCAGTTAATGAATATTTATATTCTATAAAGCAGAGATGCATCTTTTTAAGATAGTAATTTCATATGTTCATTAGCTTCATAACCATTTATATGATAAATTCACAAGCCTCTTTTCCACAAATACATCCTCTTTGTTGCTGATGTCTTGGCAGGACAGAAACTTGGTAGAATTTCCTCTGGATTCTTTCCCTAGAACCTCTCCACCATCCAAATACTCTTTTCATGTTGAATTAATATGATGTGTTCACTATGGAAGCAATTTCCTAATAGGAAGAACAAACTGAGAAATTGAGCTTAGACATTCCTACTACATAGAAAAACTGAGATGGCAAGAGAAAGACACAAATATAAATGATGTTTGTTGTTAGAGACAAGCCACACGGTGTAGGATGACATGTATGAATGCGTGAAGCTCAGAGATACGAGGATTTCCAAGGAAATACATACTCCCAGATAGCCAAAGATCATTTCAATTTGACTCTAAAATAATGGAGTCTAAATTATTAAATAGAATCTATCTCAAGCACCCAGAATTAAGCCAGAAGCCAATTAAATGTTTAATGCTATTGGGTATCATGAACTAATTCTCCCAAACTCCAGGGACAAGTTTTATTCTAACCCAGTTCTAAAAATAAGAAGCCAGAGAGAGCCTCAGAATATTTTATTTCATCTCAGGTTATTTATTGACTTGGTTCCTGTCCTTGTATGGGGATGAGGGCAATGGAATGTAGACCATAATGGGGGGGGGCACTTTAAAGTTATGACTTTATATAGCAAACTGTGGAGCATGTTTTTTTCTTTAGAACATTCACTTCAAAAATTAGCTCTCAGTAAATTTTCTTAATTAGTGAGGGGGGGGGGGCGGCGAGAAAGGGAATTAGAAAGAGAGAGAGAAAGAGGAGAGGTAGACCAGCCAATGACCACTGCCACATGACTAATGCAATGCAGGTGGCACACAGGTAATTCCTTGAGCCCCAAGGTTTCTCTCATTTCCTCTCTGTGATCCCAGGACTGTGGAGTTTGTTGCAAGCTCTGCTGGGCTGTTGGCTCTATCTACCGAAGAAGTTACCCTTTTCTTCTTCTCTTTTTTCTAGAACCTCCATTGCACTTTATCCTTTCTTCAAGGAATTAAATATTCTTGTCTCAAAAATATGTCCTTATTTGGCTCATCTAGCAACTTCACAGGAGTGCTAAAGTCTTGAGCAAAGGCAGAGAAACAACAGGCATTGTCTTCTAAAATGGGGTATTTACTGTGGCTTCTGACTGGAGAGTTAAGAAAATCTATCTCCTCTATAGTCCAGAAACTGTCTTGACCAAAGATGCCAATGAGCCCTTAACATTAAAACCGAAAATACAGCTTTCATCTTTCCATCCTTTAGCTCTGATATAAACTCCTTCCTTCTTGAATTCTTTCTGATCTCCATGCTCAGGTACCTTTGCATTCTCCTTTTACTTCACAGAACAATGGGTCACTTATTCCCCATTGCAAGTGAAGATGCTCCTCTCTGCCACACCCATGAGTGATCCTGAGGCTTTACACTGCTTTATCCTCTTTCTACCTGATTAATTGTCCTTCACATCTGCTATCAGTTTCAAGGATAGCTAGAGACTTCCTCATCTCTACTTTCAGACAGCTCTGTGATTGTATGTCCAACTATCTGTTCAATACTTTTGCCCAATCGTGTTTCAGGAAATTCATCCTCCACATGTCCAAAGCACAAGTGCCTTCCTTCCACACCCATGTCTTATGCTTGGTGCCACCATCCTGCTCTAAGTCATCAAAGGTGGAAATATGGATGCTATCAGGTTCTTCCCTTTCAATTGAATAATGATTCCACCTCTTTAAATATATTTTACGAGGCTGAGGATGTAGAACACTTGCAACATTTTTCAAGGTCCTAGGTTTTTTGTTTGTTTTAAAGAGAGAGAGAGAGAGAGAGAGAGAGAGAGAGAAATTTATTTTTTATTTATTTTTTTTAGTTTTCGGTGGACCCAACATCTTTATTTTATTTTTATGTGGTGCTGAGGATGGAATCCAGCGCCCGGTGCATGCCAGGCAAGTGCGCTACCGCTTGAGCCACATCCCCAGCTCCAAGGTCCTAGGTTTTATCCCCAACACACACACACACACACACACACACACACACACACCCCTCTCTATTTCTACTCTAGCTCTTGCTCTAGCTCTCTCCACCTTCCTGATCATATGGGCATGCTTTTGTGGTCTCTTGACAATGTACTATTACTAGCCTCCCTGTATATCATCTTCTCTCTTTCCAATCAAACCATCACTGAAATAATCTTTTAAAACATGATCATGAGCACATTATTACCCAGTGTAATCCCAGGTTTTGGGTTCTTTTAGCCTAGTGCTTTTTAACCTCAGCAAACATAAAATTACCTCAAAAGCTGGTTCAAACATGGAGAGTTGGGCTTCCCTCCCCAGCATTTCCAAATTGGTCAGTTTGGAGTGAGCCTGAGGAGTTCCCAGGTGGTTTTGATACTACCAAACAGAGACCACTCTTGGAGAACCATTGTGTTGCCTGTAGTATACATTTAGAAGTCCCTAGCAGGGCATGCAGAAGATCATCAACCCATCTCCCCAGCCACAGCTCCTTACCACCAATCTCTAGGTCAAGTAAATGGACTCCAAAGGCACTGAAGTCCCCCACTACTTCTTGCCTATTTGCCTTTTACCTATTGACACTCGCACTCTGTTTTTTCTTTGCTTGTAGGTTTAACATCCACTCACCTTTCAAGTTCTAGGACAAGTGCCCACCATGTCATTTAGGTATTCTCCATATTGTCTCCTCTCCCATCTCCACAGCTCACACACAAACGCTGGTAGAACTGGTTGCTCCCTTCTGGACCTCACTTAGGACTTTGTCACAGAATATGTGTCCCTCTAGGTATGACACTTGACTTCCTGTCTTCCTTCAAGGCTAAGGTCTGTGGGCAGAAATTCTCTTATTAGTATGTATGTTCCTTGTTTGTAGCATAACATCTCTCTACATATACACATGCAGTATTTGATTATGGAATGTAAACAGATGAATATATTGCTAAATCATTTTAAAGGACCACTATGCTGATGCAGCTATATTATTCTTGCATAAGGGAAGCTTATGAACTTGAAAAAAGTATCCAAGGACATTTTACCTTTTCAGTATAAGATAAAATGTGGAGAAGAGAAGCAAAGAAGTTTAAACCTTCTTCTTTCTACTTAGTGAATATAGATACCGAGAATAATTTGGCTAATGGTGTATTAGGCCACAAAAGATCGTACACTGCAATTCCATGAGAAGAAAGAGACTCTAGTAATTCTATTGTATTCTTGGCTACACTGAGTAAAGCCCATATTAATTTATAATGCATGTGCCATGCTAAATAGAAAGGATCCAGGCCATCTTTACAATGGAGAAGAGCAATTCACTTTAAATATGGCAAGGAGGGGAAGGAGGGATTGGCTACGAATATAAATTATTGAATGGTCAACTAAAATAAAAGCTTTTTATTTCTACTCAGCCAGTCAGAGATACAAATCTCCTCATGTTTTATAGTATATTAACAAAATCTTATATGTGGTTCATTTATTGATATGTTCATTTTTTAATAAAATATAACAAAATGTGACAGTGTCGTTTAAGGTACTGAACTAAGTATGGTGGGTATTTGAAAGAAAGGGGACATCATTCCTGCCTCATATATGCTTGCTGGGCTCTTCTAGTATTTGGGGTAGGGCAGTTCTTTGTGTAGGATTATACAGCATAGGGAAGAATGATAATGATTCCTGTTACCTATACACTAAACGCTGGTAGCAACCCCCAGTCAGAGACCAAACACTTCCTAGGGCTAAGACTATCCACAGTTGAGATTTTCAGAACCAGAGGTGCCCTGATGAAGAGACTCCCTGTAAAATGTGTGACTGTTTCTGGCCATCCCACCCCACTGAAGGGAAGAAGGAGCGATGAAGAAGGTACACTTCAAATTTCCCTTAGTATGGTTAGCACTCATATTTTACTCTTGTAACTCACTAATTAAGAAGCTTGCATGGGACAGGTAATGGTAAGACCCAGTAATTAGTTATCAAACAAACAAATATGTCTTGAAATGATGTCAACTCTTATAAAAATGGATAATAATTTGTATTATCTGGTCTGGAATCTTGTTAGACTACGGGTATACAAGAGAATGCTTAATTTTTCTATCAATGTGTAGGATATCCACATACAACATGGTTTACAGAGAACTAGTTTATATTTACTTATTGTAGACAAATTAGGAAAGGTGAATAGATTCAGGTAATGCCTCCTGGTTGTTTCTTAATTGACAAATAGAAAACTTATTTTTTGTCAGTTTATTCATATGTGATAAAAGCTTGACTTTTTTAATGTAAAAATATTTTATTTTATTTTATTTTTGGTACCAGGGATGCTTAAACACTGAGCCACATCCTCAGCCTCCTTTTTAAATTTCAAGACAGGGTCACACTAAGTTGTTTGGGGTCTTGTTAAATTGCTGAAGATAGCCTTGAACATGTGATCCTCCTGCCTCAGCCTCCCAAGCTGCTGGAATTATAGGTATGTGCCTCCATGTCCAGCTCTAAAAATATTTTAAAGGTAAAACATTGATAAATTAGAATTTCAATTTGATAATTTAGAGTAAGGTCTAGACTTTGCTTGAGACCAAAATGTTTGTTTTCTCCTTAAGGCTGTTTAGTAAGCAGAGCTGTATTTAGAGGCTACATCTCCATCTCCACTACCTCCATCCTGTCCTTATCTAGCCTATGGTAATTACATCCTGATCTGGCTTCCTGCATCCTCTTGGCCCATCTGTGCTTAAATATTTATCCCTGTGATGAGCGATCTCAAAAAATCAAAGACAATTATACTCCCTTGCTTAAATCCTGATAAAGGCATCCCACTGCTCCTAGGATAAAAAGTCATAAAGATATTTTTCTGAAAATCAAAGACATAGTAGCTAGCAGGCCAGGGCTCTCGAACAATTCTAAAAGAAGTTTTTCAGACTGAATAGAAAAAACAAAGGGAAACTGAAAATAACATAAAGAGATTAAGAATACTGAAATAAGTATGTGGAGAAATATAAAATTCCATCTACTTTTTCTTACTTTCTTTAAAATATACTGAATATTTAAAGCAAAATAATAACATTGCATCACGGATTTTATAAAACATACAGAAGAAAACTGTGAGATTTAAATGGCAAAATAAACTAGATTTTTATGAAATTCTTTTTACTTATGTAATGTGATTCAATTTTCAGTCCAAATAAATGGAGTGCTTTGTTTTACAAAGCAGGTTTTGTTCTGTAAATGTTAGTTAGATTTTAGTTTATACTGTTAAACTAACATTTGAAGACTATCATTTATTTAATAAAAAGAGGTATAACAAATTCATGAAGAAATTAGAATAATAAAGTAATGTTTGTATGATAAAAAATAAAGCAGAAGAACAAAAAAATCAAACAAATGGAAAAAAGAGAGACCAAATAACAAAACTAAAGACTAATTTGCAATGATATCAATAGTTATATTAAATATATATTGGCTTAATAATTTAAAGGAAATTTTTCTCAAACTGGAAATCAAGTAAGAGTCAATTATATTTTTATCTACCAGATACAAAAAGACAAAGATTGAAAGTAAACCCATAAAAATTATGAACCATTCAAACTGTAGCAATAAAAAGATAGTACATTTATAGAAATATCAAACAATGTAGTTTCCAAGAAAGAGATATTACCAAGAATAACAAGTGCAACCACTCATCAAAAACGCCTAACAATCCTAAAAAAATGATGTACATAATATAGAACTTCAAAATATAAAACAAAAAGGCAATCTGACCAAACTAAAAGGACAGATATGCAAATTCAATGAAACAATAACAGATATTTAGCTTTCACTAACAAACAGAATGAGTTGCAAAATAGTAATAATGATGATCATAATGCTATTTAAGTCTGGACTATTAAATATGTGTAACTAGTATTTATATACTATTGACTAAAGAATAAATATTCTTTTAAGTGATAAGTTCATCAGATTCATCATATGCTGTGGGGAAAATAACAAAATAAAGTTCAAAAAATTGAATCATTGAATATTTATCTGGCCCAAATCAAACTAATTAAATAATAAATATCTAAGACAGATTAAAATTTCAAAAAGTAAATAAGATGCTATTGAAAATTATGAATCAAAGAACAGAAAGAAAAAATAAAAAATTCTAAATGAAAATGTACATCAAAATTTGTGCGATATAGCTAAAGCAAAGGAAATTTTACAGCCTTAAATGCTTACATTTAAAAGAAGATTTAAAAAGTCAATGATCTATGTGTATCCATCTTAGTGAATAAAATAAAGGAGCAAATTTAAGAAAGAAAGTAAAAGAATGGAATTCAATGAAATATAAAACTAATAACAAAGAAAATTTCCAGGCAGAATAGCATCTTACAGTCCCTAAAGAATGTGAATCTTATTTTATGTGGCTAAAAGGCCTCCATAATTCACACAGTCCTACTAACATCTAGATTTTGCCCTCATGAAACCAAGTTGAGAACCAGATGATTCATGCTATACCCAAACTTCTGCCCATAGAACCCGTGAGACAATAATGGCTGAGTAATCTGCTGTCTGTGGTAACACATTATGGCAGCAATAAAAACCAATACAATCAATAAGCACAGACATTGTATTTAATAAAAGATCATTATATTGTGTGAAATAAGCTAGGCACAGAAAGACCAGTACCTTGGTGGTCTCAGTCATGTGACATCCAAAAGAGCTGATCTCAGAATTGGCAGTGACAGAGTGGTGACCAGAAGCCAGGGAGAGCTAGCAAGTGTGGGAGGGACAGAAATAACTTGAAAAGAACAAGGGGATCTGAGGAGAAATAGAAAAAAGTATTTATAAAGTTTTCACCATACTAAAATGAGTAAAATTTTGAGGAGATAGATATGTGGAACCTGATTTAAACATTATGCAATGTGTACATGTATTGAAACATAACTGCTACCCTCTTAATATGGACATTTTTTTTGTTTTTCTGTATAAGTTAAAAATTATAAAGCTGAGAAATAGATTAGTACAATGGACAAACAAGTAAAACTGACCAAGAAAAAGAAAAAAAATAGCAAATGGACAATAATAAATGTAAAAGAAGGGACACCAGTATAAATCCTATAAACATTAAACAATAACAAGGTAAATTTATGAAAAACATTATGCCAAGGAATTTTATAAACTTAGGTGGAAATATAAATTCCTTGAAAAATACAACTTTATACAAGTGATCAATGATGCATGTACACACACACACACACACACACACAACACAGAGGATAGTCCTATATCCACTGAGGAAATTGAATTTGTTGTAAAAACTTTCCAATAAGGAAGTTCCAAGCCAAGATGATTTCAATAGAGAAATAACAGAGTTTTTTAAAAAAAAAAAAAACTACAAATAGGAAAAAAGTCTTTGCCTGATACTCTTCCAACAGAGGATTAATAACTAGAATATATAAAGACAAAATAACTATAACTAGAATATATAAAGACAAAAAAATCCTAACCCACTGAATATGTGGACAAATGAACTAAACAGTCACTCTCAAAAGACAAAGTACAAATGATTGATAATTAAATGAAAACCTGTTCAACATCTATAGCCATCAGAGAGAAGCATCAAAACTACACTGCGATTTTACTTCACTCCAGATAAAATGGCAGTCATCGGGAATATAAAGAGGAATAAATGCTGGCAATGATGGAAACAAGTAACCAAGTAACTTTTTAATATATATATATATATATATATATTTTATTTTTTGGCATTGGGTATTGAACTCAGGGTGCTTAATCACTGAGTCATATCCCAAGCTCTTTTTATATTTTAACTAGAGACAGGATCTTGCTGAGTTGCTTAGGA